CAAGCTGAAGAAAAGGGAAGAACATTGATGTCAAACGAATATGCATCCTCATTCATCTTGATTTTTGTTTTCTATGAAAATTTTTGTCTTTTAGTCTCAAAACTATGTGTTGTGGTATGACGTTTTATGAAAAATCTGTACGTGATGGAGGAAAATGGATATCATTTTTGGATTCAGTGTACAGGAATTACTGTAGAACATGTAAAAATTTCAAGACAATAAAATCATCTAAGTAAGAGTTTTTTCTTCCCGTTTTGTAAAAATCCTTATGGGATAGAAAAAAATTAATATTATTTTCTAAATCTGCGGTGCTGAATTATAGAAAATCCGTTATTAAAACCAAAACAACTTTTATGAAGTTTACATTTGCAGGCCTGTGTAATAAATACTTAAAATTTAAACCTTCATTTCAAAGAAATATTTTCAAGAATATCTGTATGGAAAATTGGATGTGCATGGCCAGGTGGTTAGGGAACTCGACTCGCAATCTGCGGGTCGCGGGTTCGAATCCCCATCCCACCAAACATGCTCGCCCCTTTCAGCCATGGGGGCATTAAAAGGTTACAGTCAATCCCACTATTCGTTGGTAAAAGAGTAGCCCAAGAGTTGGCGGTGGGTGGTGATGACTAATTGCCTTCCCTCTAGTCTTTCACTGCTAAATTATGGACAGCTAGTGTAGGTAGTCCTTGTGTAGCTTTGCGCAAAATTCATAACAAACACAATTTTCAAAATGCAAAATATATTTTTAAAATTGTTGTAATTATTCTTTAATGAAGGTACATTTTTCTTTACAGATGATTTAAAGAGTAAAATTGTCACTACTCTACTTGATATGCATAAGACTCGAGAGGGAGCTCAAGCTTTGTCAGAATTCCGAGTCAGACGTTTTGCTTCGATTTCTCTCCAAGATTTTGATCAAGAAAAAGAACTTATTGAAAGTACAAAAAGTTTAAGTTTTGATACAGTATATTATTGAACCAGTTTCCAGTTAAAAAAAATAATGTTCCATAAATCTTTTTTTTTTTTCTATGTGTAACTAATGATTTACTTCTACTTCTATAGCAGAGAAGTTTAGTTTTTGTAGGGGCCAGAATTTTCAGTAGCATTGGTGCCTTGTTTTTATTTTATGAATTAAACACTAGAAAATAATCGTTTCTGTTTTTATTCTATTTTTAATTTCTACTTATGTCTTGGTTTTCTGAATCTCAAATAATGAATATTTTTTAACTGTATTTTTTTAGATAATGAATTTTTATGTAAATAGTTGAAATACTAAACACTAACTTAAATTTTCTAGTTTTTCAAACCAAACTGTGTAAAACTGAATCATAGGAGTGTTCACACTCGTTTCCTTTTCTAAACATATTCAGGAAGATTAAGCAGTTGGTCAACATCAATGTTCCTTCTAATTTTTTCAATCAATGTGCAGAATGAATTTTTTCATGTGCACCAGTATCAAGACAATGTACGGATGTGCGCTACCAGTTTTTTTTTTATGAGCAGGGGGTATTTTTAGATCATTGACCCTATTTGATCATTAGGCTACTTTGCAGTGCTACCAGTTGGTTATTTAGGTTTTAAGCCTATCAACTGCCAGGATCATTAAGGCCATCAGTGTGAGGATGTGCACGGCTGGAATAATGAAGTGTGCAATAATGAAGTGAAATACTGGTGAACATATGTATTTAACAAATGTTTTCTTTCTTATCCTGACTATTTAATTACACAGCTATGTTCCTCACTATTTCTTATGTTAATACAGGTGTATGTAAACGGTTGAACAGAATTTTGCTTTAAGCACTTAAATTGTATTCACCCCCCAGTGGCTCAGCAGTAAGTCTACAGGTTTATGATGCTAAGCATTGGGTTTTGATACTCATGAATGAGGAGATCACAGATAACCCATTGTGTAGCTTTGTGCTTAGCAACAACCAAACCAAACTATAGTCAATTTTATGAAACTAAAGAAAAATTCTTCTTTTGAATCGAATTCTGCATTAGTTAGCCGTTTTTTTAGAATCTCTTAGAATTTATTGGTAGAAAATATATATATATTTTTTTCTCTAACATCTTTCATATTTCCAAAAGATAATTTTCTTTTTGAATTTAGCACTCTTTTAGCAATTTCCTACGAATAAATTGAATTATTTAATTAAACCTCCAGAATGATTTTATATGTTTACAGCTGCTATTAGTTATATGTTAGATCCACTAGTTTCATTAATTTGTAATGAGTATTTGCGGGCTAACGTTCTTTTTCTTTGTGCTTAGATCAAAATAAATAAACAAATACTTCGTTGCTTCCCTGTTTTGAAAAGTTAGTGTAGTTTTAGGACTTTTATGAAATTTAACTCCAAACTCCATGAATGAAAAAACAAACAAAAAAACACTTATACATTAAGTTTCCAATTGTCATGAAAAACATTTGATCTGTTTAATTTTCTTCCTCACTTGTGTTATTTTATATTTTACCACAAGTTTAAAAATTTAATAATTGCGATCCTGTAAAAAACAAAAGCATTTATTTTCAAAAATTAGTTTATAATTATTCATATCTTATAAAGAACATGATCACCATCATCTAATCAAATCATCGAAGTCATAATAATTCTAACAGTTATTTCAAATGTTCTCAGATTTATTCATTAAAGGAATCAATATTAGATCCCCCCCCCAAGTAAATAATAAGTATGGAATTATAATGAAACTTCTTCAGTTTGATTGCACTTGTATATTTTGAGCTCAATGGAATAAGAAAAAGACAACACAATCAAAGATTACTAATCTTGAGAGATTATCAAGACAGTCTCACCTAAATCAATAACAGGTTATTTAAAAAGTCAATCTAATTTCTTACAAAAAAATGTATACTGGTTTTAATATAGCTTAGCTGATGAAATATTATTGGTATGATAATAATTTTGTTACTTTACGGCAATCAATTTTTAGGCTGTTGTTTCGCCTTGTGTACGCCAGTTTTTTGATTCTCCAAATTAATCTTGAATTTTACATTTTCCAGTCCAATATTTAAAACAATTCCAATTTTACAGATTTTGGGGTAGCTTATAGACCTTCCAAAAAAAATGTTTAAAACTGCTTAAGGAAAAAGAATTATTTAATCAAACTTTACTATGTAATTTTATCCTCTCACCTTGAAGTGAATTTAACCATCTCTTTGTATTTTGTAACTTTTTATCATTTTTAAAAATTATTTCAAACTAATATCTAATCACTGAAACCGTATAACATAACTGCATCATAAAAAATAGATGTCAATATTGAATTAATCTTTGACTACGAACAAAATTTAGTATATTTTTATACTTCAACTAGAGTTAAATGTTCATGATCTAATACCACAACACTACGGAATTGTCTTCCTGTTAATTAACGGGAATGAATTTACTTGTGCACAAGTCTCTTCACACGCTTGAAACATATTTATACAAAATATACTACATGTAAATAAATGCAGATATTCATATCTGTAATTAATTAAAACAACTTCTATATTTAACCTAAGTTAGTAGTTGATGGTTCACAATATCAGATTCCAAAAGTCCACTCTCAGAAAAAGTGGGAGAACATAAAATTTAATCCCAAACCCAGGAACTTCCACAGCCCTAAGGCAACGCATGGACCCCCGGCTGTAATAAGTACAACACATTTCCTCACTTTGCTTGGTCAAATAAACCTCCCCCACTTTTAAGTTGCTTTGTTTGATTGAGGTTAAGCACAAAGTTACACAATGGGCTATTTGTGTTCTGCCCACCAGGAATATCGAAACCCAGTTTCTAGTGTTGTAAATTCGCAGGCATGCCGGTTTGCCATTTTGGGGAATTTTAATTTGCCTCCTAGACCTCTGTACCTAATACTGTTTATGTATAAGGAGTAAATATCTCATTTTTAATATTACAAAATTAACTGCTTAACCCTCTGTTGAACATTATACCAAACAGGTAACAGTAAATAAACCATGGAATTATTTCTGTTGGTTCCTCAGTTGAACAATCTTATTTCTAGGTTATGTACCCATTTACAACTTCACAAAACACTTTTGTGTACAATATAGAACTACTTAAGTTAGAAATAAAATAAGAAAATATTTTTTACCCATCGCATTTTTATAATGTGTGCAACAAAGAGTTAAAAGTAACAAAATTACTTTGTATCTTGTAGAGTGATAAACTCAATTACCAAATTCATAGATCATAATACTTTGTCAAATACAAAGGAAACAATACGTTTTTAGCAACATTTTTCAGTATGTAATTTTTACTTCTCTGGTGGTATATTTATTCTTTTCTTTATTTCACATGTAATTCAATTTTCTTAATTTCAAGGCATTTTTACTGGGACAGATTGAAAAGTGGGGGGTATATTTACAGAGGAGAGTACTAGGTTTTGAAAGTATAGGTATTTGTATAGAAATTTAAATTGAATGTAGACTATTATCTATCATATGGATGATTTTCAAATTGATCAAAATACCAACTGTCACATGTACCATAGTAGACTGGATGTCAACAAAGCAATACTAACCGCACTGTGTAAATATAGAAAACTGCACAATTGTAGGATTACTGTAATATTGTGGCTGTTTTAATGGTATTTGATTGATGTTTTGTGTAATACATGGAGAAATCAAGGTTAATGATACAGACTTACACGAGTAAAGTGTTCTTTGTATGAAAACATTTTATCAGTGATTAGGGGAATGGGTAAAATGTTGTACATTTTCCCATTCTTTCAGTGTTGAAACAAATCTAGATTTTTTATATATCTAATGAATTTAATTATGTTTATTAGATTGTGTGTTCCAAATATGAATAAATATTATGTTTTAATTTCTCTTTGTTGTTCATTAGTCTATATGTCATTTGATAAATGTGTGATTATTAAATGAAACACTGAAATTAAGGCTTTTACTTTATTAATCTAGCATCAACACAAAAGAATTTGGTGTACGTGTAATGATCACCATGCTTTAACTGGACAGTCCTTTGCACGAAGTAAAGTAAAAAAAAAAGAAGTTTCTATTATGTATTTTTAACAGTTTAGAGAAATATTGTTTAAACTACCAAGCCATAATGGACAGATTTATCATGTGTTTTCACGAGTCAAGAATCAAACTGGGCGTGTTCGTGTTTTACTTTCTGCGTAGTTGAAGAAACACTAGATAAACTATTTGTGTTAGTTAGATTTAAAAATGTGTATACGAATAATTAATACAATGTGCAGGGGCGGATACAGGATTTTGAGCAGGAGAGGATCCCAATTGGGGGGGGGGGGAGTAAGTAAAAGAATAAGACGGAAAGGCATCTTACTTATATTAGATAAAAAACAAAATAATAAATTTTGTTTTTAAGGTTAATTTATGATTACTTGGTGTTTTTCGAGTTTTTATTTATTTATAAAATTTCTTTATCTAGATATTTAAAAAAAATAATTAGCTTTGCCTTAGCGGGAGGGGGGCAGACCCCCCTGCATCCGTGCCTGATGTGACCACAAAACTTTAAAACTAACTACGATGATACCCTCACATGTGAAAAGTTTTTGTAGAACAATATTTGTTGGGTGGATCTTGGGTTGTTTTTGTGAAACACTGACTTGATATCTCTGTCTGAAAAGGACCAGAAAACAAATTTTAAGCATTTTCGCCCTGGATAATTTCTTAGTAAACTTCATAATGCACATTATACGTTAGTATACCTTTATGTTCGGTACATCAACTTTCCTAAATAATTATCAGGGGAAAGGTATTTTCTTACGGAATCTGAAGAATGTTACTCTCAGTAACACCAAAGTATGAGACGTTGTTAAGGAGCTTAATAAGGTTTACAATACGAAGTTAAGCTCTCATTTAGTATATGGTTTTTCACAACTAACTGAATGTCGGTCACATGCCGACTAATTTTTCTTCAGAAAATTAAATTTAAAATGTCTTCTAAAATTTGATTATAGTGTTTATCCTTTTTTCTATTATTTC